AACCCCAATCTTATCTGGATTTGATCATTTCACAACCCTGTTCTGTACTGTTGATGTTAGATAGTGCCCATATGAATTCTTTTTCATGTTATTCTTAAATGTGTGGATTAGTTAATGAATCCATTTAAAGATTAAGCAATGGAAATGCTGAAATAATGCGATCTTGATTCATGAAATAGCATATTACTGAAATCTTACTGTTACAAAATCTGTAATTAAGTTCCGCTGAATGGTACCTGCTTTTGAACTTGACTTAGTTTAGTCATTGGATATGGGAAAAAGAGCTACAATACGAAATTTTTCCATAATGCTAATAGCACCTTAATAACAACCCCATTAGGGAACAGTTTACCCTATGATCTCCCCTAGGTATAAAAAGCACATTGATTTTGGATTCGATTGGAAATCGGCTGGATGGGAAGTATCCGTAACCAAAAGAGAAATTAAAAGGCTTTTCCATCTCTGCTGTTCTCAATATTGAACAAGAATCATAGGTAAATTGAAGATCAAAGTCTGCTTTTAGCTAAAATTCTCTTATAGACATGACACTGGTGGTGTTCATTTGAGACATATCCAAAAGATTGATGTATTATGCGAACACACGTGAAAGATGTATTCTTCATGGTATTTAGTTATTTCTGGTGCATGTTGTTTTCCTGATGCTTTGTATTTGTAGATCAAATATCTTTTATGCCTACATCTGTTGCAGCTGTTTACAATCTCATTCTTATTCGTCTTTATTTATCCAATGACAGTTCTTTGAATTTGTTTAATTGTAAAACGAATTAAATCAGTAAATTACCCTTTTTCTGAACGTTGTAGGCAAACGAAGGCCATGGAGGGCATTTCTTTTGTCTGGTCCACCTGGAACTGGAAAGTCATACCTGGCAAAGGCTGTTGCAACAGAGGCAGGATCAACGATTTTCAGGTTATTTTCTATTTACAAATATGAGTCAATTGAACTGTTGAAAATGGGTTAGATGCTCAATAATTTAATGGACAAGTATCTTGAAAAATATGTAGACATCTTATATTTGATTGAACTGTTGCAGTATATCTTCGTCAGATCTAGTTTCAAAATGGATGGGTGAAAGTGAAAAGCTAGTTTCTAACCTTTTCGAAATGGCTCGTGAAAATGCTCCTTCAATAATTTTTATAGATGAAATTGATTCCTTATGTGGCCAACGTGGAGAAGGCAATGAAATTGAAGCTTCTCGAAGAATCAAGACAGAACTTCCTTGTGCAGATGCAGGTAACTTTACATAACATTAGTTGCATATCTGATCTGTGCCTTGTTTGTCAAGGTTATGAAGCAAATCAGTGCTTCATATGCATGATCAACTAAATGTAATTTTATGAGATATAACTCTATCGGTATTGATCTTACTTTTATACAAAAAGGAACAACTGGAGTTGCTTGGATGTTCAAGTGGTTTATGATATGTGTTTTTCACGTCTCCTTACAATCAAGGATTTGAATGCTGTTAACACCTGATAGCGGCTTGCCATTTGGACTGGTATGGTATATTGATACGGCTGGAATTTAACTTGTAGGATTCAGGACATTGGGCCAGTTAAGTCTTTGAACTGGCATGAGGCTAAAATTTTATTAGCCCCAGGTTGACTGAAATTGTCCCCTTAGGGGCGTATCCACGATGGGTCTAACAGGTTTTAAATCCTTGGTCATATTGTATATCACGTTCTTCCTCCGTGTATAATATTTGTAAATTAATAAGATTTCTTCTGGATAAAAATATTTTCTGTTTCATACATAAAATTTTGGCTTCAGAATACAAATTGAACTGGAAATTGTGTTGGAAATATTTGACTTTGGAACAAAAGTTATGCTGTATATGATTCTGTTTTTGCAGGGTGTAGGAAACAACGATCAGAAAGTCCTCATTCTTGCCGCCACAAATGCACCCTATGCTCTGGCCTAGACACTTTTATTAGTTTTTGCTGGTAGTTGCTTTTAAAGTTATCGGAATCATCATTTGCTATTGCTTATAATTGTGAAGCGCAGGCAATCCTACAGCGTTTTGACAAGTGGATTTATATTCCTCTTCCAGACCTAAAAGGCAGGCAACATATGTTCAAGGTATTGACTATAATGACCAGAACACTGCTAGAAGTTACTAGGATCACTTGATTGGCAACCTTTTACTATAAATTTTTACTGACATAAGTCACTAGGATTCCTTATTTGTTGTGACTTTTTGCTACATTTTTCACTTCATTCTTTGGCATTAGTCTCAGTTTACGAAGACCTCAGGAATTACAGGTCACTTCATCTTTTTGATATTTTCATACTACTGCTTGGTTTGGTAGGTTCATCTGGGAGATACCTCTCATAACTTGAGCGAAAGTGATTTTGTGAACTTAGCTCGCCGAACAGAAGGATTTCCTAGCTGAGATATATCTGTTTGTGTAAGTGGTCTTGATCTTCTTGCAAATCTTACAAAGAACTCGAGGGATGACTCGGTTGTGCTGCTTTTGACTGAACAGGTCAAAGATGTACTGTTTGAACTAGTCCGGAAAGCTCAAGATGCCATGCATTTCCACAAGTCCGGCGACAGCATGTGGTTGCCATGTGGACCAAGACACCCAGGATCTATTCAGACCACATTGCAGGAGCTTGCTGCTAAAGGTCTTGCTGCGAAGGTACATGTGAAATCTTGTGTTGCTATCATTTGGTTCTCCATTCTATTCTGTCCATGTTTAGTATATCATATTTTTTTGGAGTGCACAAACAGATCCTTCCCCCACCGATCACAAAGACAAGATTTCGACAAAATGGAGCATCTAAATATACCTTGCTCTTAAGCAAGGTCCATTGCTGGGATTTATCTCACTTATGTTTTAAAGATCAAACTCTTCATTTGTCTTTTTTTCTCTCTTTCTTGTGCTATCATCCTCTACTACATGTCAGTCAGTGTAATGCGAAAACTGTTTTTTTTGTTTTGCTCCACAAATTTGTATGACATGAAAATATAAAGCTAGCAATGGGATTCAAAGCTCTGATCTATGGACTGTTGGTGTTTTTTGAGAACTATTGTTCGGATCTCGAGATAGATCCCTTTCGTAATGAGAATCAATTTTGTGAGGTGTTTGTGATAGTGTTATGAAAGCTAAAAACCAGCAGTTCTTCAGATATATTTAATACTTTTTTATATTTAGATCTCAAGTTAACCTTTTAGCACAAAAAAAATAACTATCTTTTAGTAATAGTTTGTGATCCAAGAATCTTTTTGGTTATTTGGTTCTGTCGATAGATTGTCCTATTTAATTTCATGGTTGAACGAGGGGGCTCTCAATCAAGAAATGCTAGCTGCTCTAACTTCGATATGATGAGGCGGCACCAGAACGCACGGGTTGATTAGGGAGACGTCACGGGAGACGCCAATGGCGGCGTCGCTCCGTGGGCTTCCGTCCAAACAACGACGGGCACGGATTCATGGCTTCCATGTCACGCACGACGCCGAGATCAGCTATTAGGTGTCACGAACGGTGTTTCCCAATCTCAAGACGAAGAGGAAGGAACGACGACGACAAGAGGAACTCTTATGCGATTTGCGATTCTTGAGGCAGCGCCCTTCTTTATTTTTCTCATCCCTTCTGATTTCGGGTTACTCTGGAGTCGAGCAAATGGAGATCAAGAATCAAGGTTCCGCTCCCTAACTTTTTCCTAATTATTCGTCGTTATGAGCAACCTTACACTCCCATTTTGCCTAAATTATGGATCTTTTCACTTGTTGCTTTGTAGAACTCGTATGAAACCTTATGTGCCGCTTGACGCGCGACTTAATTAACCTAAAACTAGGCGTTTGCCATAGAGACATAACGTCAAACATGTGTTAGGTACTTCCGATGTCATTTATTTTCTTGTTTACGATCGTCGTTTCGAGAAGAGAGATCTTGCCAATAATTTTGGTCGGCGTAAGTTAATCATTTTACTTACGATTGAAATGATCTTGTCGCTTAGGAATCCCGAGTTGTCTCTCTTTCATTTTGATAATTTCATTATTCATAAACATTTGCTCGTACCAATGATTTCGATTTGGTTACATACATACTTCAAATCTTTAATGCTTTTACATGTTGTTTTACGAGGATATCTCGTCACGATATCATTTGCCCATCGAGTTTCCATGATAAAAACAGTGCATGTATTTGTTGCTGTTGCTGTTGCGTGGCCACTGTGTGTTTGTTTATTAGAACAATTTTTTGGATTTTTGAATGTTTATTGGGTTTGCTTGGATATATCACAATTTTTTTATTTAAATTTAATCAGGACATCTCGAAATCCATCGACATCGAAATGGGTATTATTCCTTGATGGGCTCCTTAACCGTTGACATCAGATCGGGCGCTGTAGCTGAAGCTTGCTTGGATCGCGCTCGGCCCTGGATTTGATACCGGGTCCCGTCGGTGGATCCTACGGGCATGCAATCGGAAGCAATTGCAGATGAGGCGTCGAAAACGACGTCGAAGAAAAGCGGAGAATTAAAGGGGAAGTTCTGACAGATTCCCATCTTTCCGATTCGTCGATGCTTCTCCGTGGTCATGGATGCTTATCCTCCATCTCGTCTCGGCGCATTTCCTCTCCCCACGGGGCGTGCGTGGGTGCGTGATGCGCTGAGTTGGACGGTGGGGATGCGGTGGTTCCCTTGACATCGACCGCGTCCTTCGAACCTTCCGTCCAAAATCCAAGCTTGCCCTTCCTCTCCGTTGAATAGGGTGGCTGGGGTCCACGAGCGCCTAATGTGGCGGCGGGATTGGGCCGCCCTGCGATAAGGGTCCCCGCCCCGATTCGCCGTCGCACTCGTCCTACCATCATCTCTTTTGAGGGTCCTGCTGCCTACGTAAACCCCACCATCCGTAGCACCGAAATCAGCCTCTGAGAACCAGAAGACCATCATTGATACTGTGGCCGGCACAAGTGGTCGGATGAGTCGCTCGATGCCGAAGTCCTATTTTCTCCTCCTCCTCCTCCTCCTCCTGCGGATACTGTGACTGCTGCTCACCAGCGTTGAGTAAGTGCTTGTCAAGTTCTTCCACTTGAATTCATTTTTTCCCTTCATAAAGCGTGGAATCTAATTGTTGTAGTATGCTTAACCAAAGAAAATGTGTTTGAAGTCGGTGAAAGATGATGCATCAAGGGTTTCCTTTGAAACTCTGCGTCATACAGCGGTTGGGAGGTCATTTGAGTCCAGCCGACATCCACTTTTCGTTTGATTGATTATGTTCCGTCGATAAGTTCTCCTAGCAATAAGTGCTTACTTTGTTCTTCTGATCCATTTAACTCTTCTCAATATAATGGTGATTTCTGTTTTGGTGCCTTAATTGCAACTATCACTGAAGGTTCTCGGAAAAAGAAGAATTGGGTGGGAAGTAAAACATGTTTATTACTCCTGTCGCTCTCGATCCATGTCAGTGTAGGAGTTTCTTCTATATTTAAATAAGACAGCATACTAGCAAAGATAAGAACGGTTTTCTCATCCTTGGGAGGAACCAATCTTTTGCCATTTCAATACCATCAATTTTCCAATGTCCAAAGGAGAATTACAAATTAGTAAAAGTGTCTACTTCATCGAATGTTGACTGAGAAATATGAATTTCATGAAGAAAATATCTTAGGTACCCTTACTGATATAAGTAACTGCATACATTACATAAGAATATTCATGCTGTTCATAACTTAACTTGATTTACTCGCTGTTGTTCTCATTATAGCCCAGATACACACTCCCTAGATTTTATCCAGTTAACTTCTTTCCTTCTCGTTATACATTACCAAGGGGGTTGGGGGTCCATCTGCCATTATCTGACCTGCCTTTCGGATAGTGTCGAACTAGGAGGAGGAAGTTTCTGGTACAATATTTTGGAGACATGAACCATTGATCTTTCCCTCATCAGCGTTAGCAATAAAGCAACTGCTTAAGTTGTTTGTTTACGAAACTATCTGCTTAAGTTGAAAATATTGATCAAGTGTTAGCATGTTTATGAAATTTATTACTCAGTTTGCATGCAGGAAGGCACTTGCACATCTTACAAAACAGTTGTGCTTTTCTTTATATGGCTGCAGATCCGGTAGCTTGTATAGCCTTAAACAACTCAGATGGATCGAGGGACGTGGGTGGAGAATTTAAATACTGATTGCCTGACCATACTTGTTTAGACAGATTTATAATGGCTTCAGTTCCTATATGTTCTCCACTGTCCTGTAAGGACCAGATTCAAGTTGCTAAGAAAGTACTCATGCAGATTGGAAGAGACTCGGTCAACTCTTGTCTTTCATGTCACAAGATGTGCTTATCGTCTTGTAGCGCCTGTCGAATTGGAAAAAGGCATACTGTATATCATATAGCAGAGATACCTTTAAAAGGAAAGAGTGGGGAAAGATCAAATTCATTTTGTGTGTTTAATCTTTTCCCTTTGCCATATAGAAGTTCCAAAGAAGTGCCGACTCTCAAGTTTTACAGTATGGGCATCCGAGGGAAGTCTACTTCTGGAGGGGGACATCAGAGGGACAAACATGGCTCAAATTCCTCCGGAACACCAGCAGCTAGCATTGAGAAGCAACTTAAGACACTGGATGCTTATTTTAGCAAGCTTCAGTATGACATGAACAAGCAGCTTAACTCTTGCACATCTGCAAGTGATTCTGAAACTCTTCACAGCAGAAGGCACGATATGATAAATTCTTCCTCAGAATCTATAGGCAAAGTTACGGAAAACATCGATGCAACTGATGATTATAAAGCAGAGACTGGTTTAAATTCATTGGAGAACTATTTCGGCCAATTATCTGGTAATTACTTTTGCGACTTATGTGGAGGCATATTTCAAGAAAATTATTGGAGTGATAAGGCTTGAGGCTCATTGTTAGTATATCTGAAATAAAACTGCAAGATTTGGCAATTATCGTTTGTTTACTATTGGTGGCCTTGCGTCGTACGAACCTTCCACCCAATTGATATCTGGCCCATTTCACCTAACTCATTGAGCCTACAGGCTGTGTCCAAGTCATGAAACTTTGCTCTCTGGCTGGTCTAGTTGAATCAGGTCGTGACATAATTCTTCTAAATCGTGAGACTCGAATTGACTTCTGCTAGGTGTAGCTAGTTGTTTTCTATAATACATGATTAACTGACCTGCTGCCAGATCTATCTGAACTTGACCAACCCGAGCCTGACTTGATCCAAGCCATTTATTTCACCGAGAATCGTTTGTTATGCTTTCCATATCACTCTTCCTTTCAGTGTACTAGTTTGTGGTAAAAGTTTATTAATAATATCTTTTTTTCCAAGAATTTTTGGAACTCTATCTTATGAATGATGACACATGTTTTTATGCTCTTATGTGGATATTGTCTCATGGTTTCTTTAGCTCCTGATTCATCAAAAGGCTTGCTGATGTTTTATCTCATAGTGCTTCTAATCCTTGTCATTCTTAACTCACTTGTTCCTGTTTCTTGATAGCTTTTGTATGTGTTTTTTTTTTCTTTTGCGGCTAATGCTTGCTTTGGGCTTCATTCCTAATTTTCTTGGGCAGTCTACTGTAGTCATTTTAATTAATGTGTTTGGTTGCTAGGAAGTCGCCCAAGAGAGTACGTCCAGTATCTGTAGTATAGGGGCCTGCAGTAATCTATTGATTTTAGTTAAAGTTTGAGGGAGATACTACTCAGTGTGAACAGTGGGTCTTCATTTTCATAATAATAATTCTGTCAGGAATGTTGAACATAATTTACTGTAGCATGACAAGGTATTTTAGAATGTTAAAAATTGCTTAACCTGTTTTACTTTTTATTTGTATGATAGTTGATAATAAATTGCCTTCTTGCCCATATGTGTTCTTTGTCATTTGAACTAACACAAAATGGGCACTTCACGAATTAATAAATTTATCATAATTGTTAAAAGATACTGAGTATGGTCCACTGCATATTTGACCTTCAAGTGTGATATTGGGTCCAATTGCTTGTTTTCTTCTCTGGTTTTTGTTCTGGACATCTTGTCAAATACCAAATGCACATATAGTTTTTTGTTGTTATTGCATGTATCATGTATGTTATATTCTTCTGGCATATTTATTCGATGAGGGATACTGAGAGAAATTTGTTCTTACCTGACGTAGACACAAAAAAGAGCAGGTTGTCTGATTCTCCTGCAGATGCATCAGAAGGAAATCCTGTAAAAATACCAATCTCTGCCATGAGAAAAAACAACGAAAAAGAAGATGCGATTGTGGAACAGTATACATTTAAGGATGAAGGGAGTCTGGATGATAGAACTGACTCACTTCTGTTTGGTAAAGTTAATACACCAAGTATATCAACAGATGATGAAGCTTCTGGTCTTTATCTAATGTGAGTCTTCTTTTTGTTTACTTCTACCGGACATAGAGAATGCCCTAATTTATGACAACTTGGCATATTAATGTGTTGAACTATTAGCATGTATAATATTTTCTTCCACAGCACTATTTTTCTTGAATATCTATTATTTCTTGTTCTAAAATAACTGTTGAAAACTTGTTTATAAATTTTAATGGGTAGATGGCTAACTGGAATTGTTTTAATGAATGCAGAAGCTTATTAGCTGCGATAAATATTGCTGTTTTCTTATTTGAAATAGCAAGTCCAGTTAGTTCAGAGGTAGAGCACTTGTCGCTTCCTCTGATCTATGGAGCAAAGATAAACAAGTTGATTCTTCTCGGGGAGTGGTGGAGACTATTAACACCAATGTTTCTGGTACAATGTTTAATTCTGATTCTCGAGTCTTTGCAATGAACTTTGATTTTGACTGGTTGTTTGATAAGTTCAATTGCTACTTTCATATCATAATTTGTCAAAGTGATATATCTGGTGGAACATTTGATTTTGATGCGGTTGGTTTAGTATGATAATGTTTAGGTTACCTTATTTGTATCAATTTATTGTAATCTCTGTCTATTAGGAAAGAATAGGCACATATGTCTCCTATTCTCTTTTAGATGTTGTAATCTTAGAGGAGATATTGCAAGGCAGAGATACATTGCAGTAGGGACATCTGTTACCAAATATGCTGTTCCATAGACACAAACCTAGGAAAATGAATTTCTTATGCTCTGGAACCTCTTGAATGGCAGCAAGCCGCATGAGTTCTTTGCAAGATGATGATGTCAAGAAACAAGTCTTTTGGAAATCACAGGTTGGCACTTCCTTTCGATGAAGTGACATCCGTATTACCATTTTCCAGGGTTTGTTTTTGAGTCATATAAGAAGTGACATCCATATTAGCTACAGAAATATCATTAGAATCTTAACCACGTTGTAAACAGCCAACCCCCTTCTTCCTTCCAATGAGGTGATATAGCTAATACTATGATTACTAGATCTGCTGTATCAAACATTGGGAACTCCATAGCTGATAATTTGACTATATCCACAGTCCGCCATTTTGATACTCACTATTCTACTACTACAAATAAGATCAAAGTGGTGACAGTCAACAATGATCATATTCATGTATAAAATTAAATGCAAACAAGCCTCAACAAATAAAGTGCTTTGGTTGTTATTAGGGATCAGGAAAGTTAATCCCTTAATACAAACAAAATTGGGAGCAATAAATATAGACAAAGTAAACTTCAAATAGTTGGACAAATTTAATCTGTTACCAAAGGTTCTGCTAAAATTATAATAGGTAAGAGTTTTATTGATGTCATTTGGGTTGTTCCTCTCTAAACTCACATTGAACCTGAATATTATAAAATTTTGTTTTGTCTATAAGGCTCTGTATCATGTTCTCTATTTGATTTTGACCTTTGCAGCACTCAGGGTTTCTGCATGTTGCTCTTGGCTGCTGGGTTCTTCTTACATTGGGAACCGAAGTTTGTAAAGGCTATGGCCCATTTGCCTTTTTCCTGATTTACATACTTGGAGGAATTTGTGGCAATTTGACGAGCTTTCTTCACACTCCTGAGTTAACTGTTTGTGGTACGGTATGTACTATTTAACCTACATTCCTATTATATTCTGATGGCGTGCGAGTCGACCAAATTTGAAGCTTGTTCTCTACAAAGATTGCTATCATGTTGGATATTAGATTACGGTCACACATATGTTCTTATACATTACTGGGAATGTCAGAAGCATGTGCCAGCTAATTAGTACTGCTTTAGAAATGTGATTTATGCAAGCAACAATTCATAATTTGTTGCTAACCCGCTTATCCATTTACTGAAATTAGCTAGTTGATGATTGAGCATCTAATCAAGTTTCATAGAGATACTTATTGAGATTTCTCTCATAGCATCGAGATACAACATGATATCTGCCCCATCTGCTGTTTATGTTCTCCGTTTTTTTTTTGGGGTCATATTATTAATCTTCAAACAAAAGCATGAAGCACCATTAGGAGAAATGCAAAAGGTTATGGATCTACCGAGTAGATTGATTAAAGAACAGTGTCCATCCTTCACAAAGCATGATTCAACAAATATGACAACTAATTTGTTTGCACAGGGTCCGGTGTTTGCCATACTTGGAGCATGGCTTGTCTACCAAATCCAAAATAAAGATGTTACATCAAAGGAGGTCTCACAAAGTATGTTTTGGCAGGCGGTGGCCGCTACTGTTCTGAGCTTTGTTTTGAGCAGCTTTGGGAGAGTCGACAACTGGTAACATCTCCCGTCCGGTGCATCTAATTCCCGATACAAATTTGTCTCATGAAATTATCGAGCAAGGAAAAGACCTCTGACGATGATGGTTTTTTGCAGGGCGCATCTTAGTGCTGCCGTCTCAGGTGTTATCTTCGGGTTTCTTACATGTCCGAGCGTTCAATTCGATGATGCATCCGCGAAGAGCAGTCAGAAAGAGGGCATCGCTCTCGTTCAGAGGCAGGCCGATCCATGCAAGTCGCTTGCTACATTTACCGTCTCCATTCTCGTGTTGGCCTCCTTGTTTTTTCTGTATGCGCCGGAGCTTCAGCTATTGGAATGGGAGAGCTTGTAGCGAAGGTTCAAACAAAGATAACAAGATCAACCGGAACTGGCGCTCGTGCTCCTCATTTTTTACGTGAAACAGTCGCAAGATATATCACGTCATCCCTCTGTATATTTCTGGACACCACATAGTGATAGGAAGTACAGAGCTAAAAGTTCCTGCTGTTGCAGTAGGAAGCTAGCAGATGATGATCCGACGACACTTGTGTTCTATCATCAAAGCATATGCCATTTCCCTTTCTTGATCCATCGTTCTTCCTTGATTCCGACGGTTTATTTCTTGATCCATTGGTTCTTTTGATCGGAAAAATTAGAACGCTCTCTGTTTCCTCCTCATCCAAATAGACAGAATGATGAAAGAGGCTGCGGAAGGGAGGAGACCAAGCGGCGGCGATGGTGCAGTCGCGCACGGCATGCAACGCCGTTGGTGCCGGGAGAAGGAACGGGCACGAATGAATGCCGGTGGGGGTCGACGGCATCAGCAAATCGTCACCGATCGATGGGTTTGATTCGCTTTTGCCAAAGAACATCAAAGAAGTGGTAAGTCTATCAATTAAAGTGATGAACCGGACAGGATAAAGAAAAGCAATCTTGGTCTAATCATAATCATCGTACTGCAACTAATATAATTGATTCGCAGAGTCCTGTTTAGATTCACTCTGTCGGATGCCATCGGGAGTCAGAACGAATGGTTACATTCCCATCGGATAGAATCGTCGCATAAATTATACACTGCTACCGACGCGTACTCGAAATAGTATTTTACCAAATGCAGTACCAACTGGCCTTGGAGCGCATCGTCCGTCGGTCGGGTCGTTTCAAGCACTAATCTAAATGCAAAGCCCAACCATATCGAACGGGACAAGTCGGATGGGTGTGGTGTGATTAGGGAACGCAGCAGACGTACGCACGGACGGTGCGGCTCTCCGGTTGCATGTCGACTGTGTCTGTCGGAGACTACGTGTTCTCGCACTGCTTGGGCTCCGCCGGGGGTCGAACTGTGTTTCGATCGATTAGGTGCGTGAACTCTAGGTGATCCCCTGATAACTTTTCAGGGGTGACTCGGTCTCCCCTCGTAATGCCCTTACATTAACCAAGAAAGATAAAGTAGAATAAAGAAAGCAAGAGAGAGAGAGAGAGGAGAGAGAGAGAAAAGGAAAGAAAATATCCTCCTCTTCGCACCACCTCGTCTCCTCCCTCACGCACGAATCCCGTACCAAGAAACCGGAGAGTTTGGGCGAGAGGGGTTTCCGAGGGCGCCGCGGGTTCCAAGACCATAAGAGAGTGCGCCCGCTCGAGAGAGAGAGAGAGAGAGAGAGAGAGAGGGAGGGGCGGCGATGCAGCGGCAAAGGGCGATGTCGTGGAGGATAGTGGGGAAGGCGGCGCAGGCGTTGGCTGCGCACGCCCTCCTCTTCTGCTTCACCCTCTTCCTCGCCCTCAAGATCGACGGCCGCACGTCCTACTCTTGGTGGTCGGTCCCTTCTTTACCTCCCCACACCTCATGCCCTTCCTTCTGCTCCCGCTCCCTTACGCTTCTGAGTTATGATCGCCTATTTCGATTACTTGGGTTTAGGGCGGACTTGTTTGCCCAAGTATACGAATCTTTTGAGGATATGTTATTTCTTGGTTCTGATGGTTAGGGATAGGTGGTCGATTTGGCCAATTGGGGTTTTACCATCAGGGATGGGTGGGAAGGACCTAGACGAGCTTTCAAGAAACGATGTAGGTTTATGTTCTACCATCAGGGATTTCGCTGACTGATTGTGTTCTTCTCTGGATCTTGATCTCTATGCCTGTTTATGGATATGTGTGTTGATGAATAATGTCGCAAGTTTCCTAAGAAACAACTTAGTAATTCTTTTAGCCAGTTAGAATTGTGGGCTTGCAGTTACTTGAGCTCTATGTCATTTTCCATTGTTCTTGTTGGGTCTAACTTTTTTCTTACTGCTGCTTCACTCATTTCTGCCCTGCCTATCTCATCCACGATTTCGTTAGGTCCTTGTTTTTTTTCCTTTTTGGTCCATGGGAGGACCCTATGGATATTTTACATCGTTGACCACCTTATGCACATTTGTTTCTCGTCTATGTGCATCTTGAGTCCCATGTTCTTTGTTATCTAACTTTTCTATGTGCTTTATAAACTACGTTTAATGATGCTGTTCCTATTATCACATTGGAAAGCTTCCTTTTATATACCGCTGCACATATTTTGAAGGGACACACACCTCAGTACATGCACGCCATTTCTTGGTGCCTAAAACAAATATTAAAATGTCTACACCTTAACATGGTCACCTGCTAGGCATGCAAGTTTTCCAAGAATAGAAAACTGTATTATGTTGGTTGATATTAACATATAATTCTCTTGGTAATTGACATTACCAATGTGTATGATTGAGGTTTGATGTGTGATGCATGGTAAATGATCATTCGTTTAACATGCCAGTTAGGATGGAGCATGTAGCAACCATGTAAGTCACTGATAAGATCATGCTTGTCATGACTTGAACATATAAGAACACTGTCCGTTATGATATTGCCAATGCATCTCCTGCCTAACATATTCGACCTTTTTTCCATTAATTACATGGACGATGATAATGAGGTGGTAGTGCTTCTCCTTTCGTAAAATATTTTTGTTTCAGTTTTTAATAATTTGGTGATCCCTGTTATCTATATTAGAAAATTTTGAAAAGATAAATTTAGAGTAGCATTTTATATTTTTGTTTCAGTTTTTAATAATTTGGTGATCCCTGTTATCTATATTAGAAAATTTTGAAAAGATAAATTTAGAGTAGCATTTTATTTATGTTGGTCTCATTTCTCTTCTGATGAAGCAGGATAATATTTGTCCCTCTTTGGCTATTTCATGCTGTTGTAGCACGAGGGAGATTCTCCTTACCTGCTCCGTCATTGCCTCATGATCGTCATGTATGATTAAACTAATTATGCTTCTTTAGAAAGTGTCATTGTTCTATTTTAATATTATGTGGGTAGCTGTTAATATGGGTCAATTTTTTGTGATCGTGTGCTGACAGTGGCTCTTATTTTTCCACAGTGGGCACCCTGTCATGCTGTTGTGGCAACACCTTTGCTAATTGCCTTTGAACTGCTCCTTTGTATATACCTTTATAGCACAAGTGGTAAGTGAATAGGCTGCATAATAGTTCTTTGACTTACTTTTTATGCCACAATTACATTCCATTGGAAATCTGTCGGTGTACACTGAGCGACCAATTTTGTGCAAATGTGTATTAGATTTATTGCAAACTTGGAAGTCTATTCTCTATTCCTTGGCATTCTACCTGATTTTTTTCGTATATGGATTTTCACACAGTTAATGGTGAACATGCTGTCAACTTGAAGATTGTTTTTCTTCCCCTTTTGGCCTTTGAGATAATCATCCTTGTGGACAATTTCAGGTACTTCATTTAACTTTGCCATTAATGTATATAACTGTCCCATTTTGTAGAGCACAATGGTGGAATACATACTTAAACGGTTGGGACATTGTGTCTTGTTGCTGTACCACGATATGAAGCTAACATTATATATTTTGGCTGAACTAGCGGCTTTTAAAGGACTTCACAACTAATAGTTAACCTGATGTGGAATATTTTATGGTATTCTAGCTCACCCAGATTCTAGGTTGAAAGGAGTCTTAAGAATATCAGTACCCTTGGCAAGGCAGTGGAACCTCTATCTGTTGGGAAGTCTTATAGTTTTAAGCAACTCATACATGGTTCTCGGTTGGCACAAAACACAACTGAGGATTTTGATTAGGACAAAGCAAGCTTTATAAGCATGGTTTGTTGTATTAGCTGATTCCAATATGGATTTTCCAAACTGTATCAACATCAGCCTAGTTTAATTCATTTCAACGAATTTCTCATCCTTATTGCCTAAAATATGTTGACAATAGCAAAAATTGTCTGAAATCGATTTTGCTAAGTCAAAAGAGGCTTACGTTTCCAATTTTAGTGAAAGTATCGACCTCCATATTAGGATATGCTGCTTCCAAGGCTGATTTTGAAAGAATAATTGTTTCAAAAGGGAGTCATGCTTTGTCAAGGCTAGTTGGTAATGCATCTAGAGCCACTAAATGCATTTTTGAAGCTGTAATCCCCACATGTTCCACATTTAAGGGTATATATCAAAACAATTAAATAATGCAGCAACAGCATCTTGGTATCTCAGAAATTGCAATAAATTTGACACATTTTTTTTCTTCTTCTCTAAGCCCAAGGTTTGAATAAATATTTAAAGACGATATTAATTATAGTGATTTGATCCACTTCTTATGGTTCTGACACTATCATTTTACAATTTCAGAATGTGTAGAGCTCTAATGCCAGGAGATGAAGAAAGCATGAGTGATGAAGCTATATGGGAGACGCTTCCTGTGAGTTCACTTGAATTGGTGCTCAACATATTTTCATTTCCAGCACTACCACATCTAATCTCACTAGCTCTTCTAGTTCCTCCTCTTGGTCAGTACTTAAAGTTTTCCTTTGACTTTTTGATTTGTAGCTCTCCCTTGGAGTTAATCTGACAACCTACTTAGGATTTCAGTGATACTATTTGCAAATTGGTTTCTGTTGTTTTGCTTTCTTTTAAGATCTTGGTGTCATCTTTATTCCAACTTCCTGTGAAGCTTGTGGGACCAGAGCATTAAAAGATTGGCATTCAGATTGCAGAAAGTTTATTGGAACATTTCATGATACCTGTTCATTTTTTTCGCTCCTTTTGCCACATAGGTACTTTTCTCATGAATTGGAAGTTTACAACAAATTGTTTGGATGTTCTTTAGATGCTCATTGAGCATGTCTGACCCTACATTTTAATACTAAAGCAATTGCTGATAAAGGCGTTTTGTTCTGTCTCTAGTGGCTGGCCGACAATTCTGTCAAGCCCTTTCAACTTTATACATGGAGACACCTTTCAGTCCCAGAATTTGTTTAATTCCCAAGGTTTAATATCCATCTAAAATGTTTCAGTTCCAGAATATGTCACCTCCATAAGTTGGTATGCGTATGCTGACAGTCCTATGAACTCTATGTCATTCCTTTCCTAGGGGTTACATGAATTGGCATGCAAATACCTTAGGTCTCCACATGTGGTCCACTCTACTACATGTATGTAACTCCCACATTTCATAGTCCATGGTCGCCCATTCTCATTACATATAGTAAGATGTAAATCATATGTTGCATTTAATTCTCTTGTTCTGTTTACTTTCTAGTTCTTTA